TCCATATGGGATCAGGGGGACCAGGACCCTCCATATGGGATCAGGGGTGTCCCTTGGGGCTGGGATGCTCCCTATGGGACCACAAGCTCTATAGGGGACCAGGAGTGTCCCTATGGGATCGGGGGTGTCCCTGTGGGGCCAGGACCCTCCCTATGGGACTACAAGCTCTATAGGGGACCAGGACCCTCCATATGGGATTGGGGGGACCAGGACCCTCCATATGGGATCGGGGGTGTCCCTGTGGGTCTGGGATGCTCCCTATGGGACCACAAGCTTTGTAGGGGACCAGGACCCTCCATATGGGATTGGGGGTGTCCATACAGAGCTGGGACCATCCCTTTGGGGCCAGGACCCCCCATATGGGACCAAGACACTCCATATGGGAGCAGGAGCTTCCATAGGGGACCGAGGGGATCCAGACAGAGCCAGGACCGTCCCTGTGGGGCCAGGAGGCTCCATATAGGGCTGAGGGAGCCCTGTGGGGCCCAGGACTGTCCCTGTGGGGCCGAGGGATCCCTATGGAGCCCAGGAGTCTCTGTAGGGCCCAGGACTCTCCCTATGGGGCCGAGGGATCCTTGTAGGGCCCAGGACTGTCCCTGTGGGGCTGAGGGGTCTCTATAGGGCCAAGGACTTTTCCTGTGGGGCCCAGTGGTCCCTATGGGGCCAAATGGTCCCTAAAGGGCCCAGGACTGTCCCTATAGGGCCCAGAACCCCCCCTAAGGGGCCAAGGGGTCCCTATGGGGCCAAATGGTCCCTATAGGGCCTGGGACTCCCCCTATGGGGCCAAGGGTTCCCCACAGGTCCCAAGACCCTCCCTATGGGGCCGAGGGGATTTAAAGGTCCCAAAATCCCCCCTTATGGGGCCAAGGGCTCCCTATAGGTCCCAGCCCCGCCCCCATAGATCCCAAAGCCCCCCCCTGCCCCCCCCCCCCAGGAGCAGCTGGAATTTTTTGGGGGGGGAACCACAAAGGCAATAATGGGGGGTTTGGGGTCCACCCCTTTCCCCCCCCCCCTTCCCCTACAACCTCTCCCCTCCCTCATTTCCAAGGGTCTAAACCCTTTAAATAATTAATGATAATAATAATTAATGCCGAATAATTAATTAAGGGTTAATAATAATAATAATAAGGATCTTCCAGGCGCGGGAAAAGTTAAAAAAAAAAAAACAAAAAAAA